TTTTGTATGCTTTTCTCTTCTATAAATAGGAGTGGTTACTAGTGTCTTAGTAACGAAGTCTTTACAAAATACTCATTGTACTCTGTAAAATTTGCAAAAGCGTAATAGAGCCAAACATATCATATTTACATCGGTGTTCAAATCTTTCAATTCTACTTTGAATTTACACTCTAATTCGTTCAATACTTGATTCATTGTCTCATCAGATTGTCCGAGTTAATTTTTTAAAATAGGGACTAAACACGTATTTTGGCACTTGCGCGGATGAATCGTATAATTTACTCACAATTATAATGGTTCAAGTTAATTTGTTTGAATATTTAGATAGTTATAATGGTTCAACTTATTTAGTTTCTAACAATTTTCGTTCACTATTGGAAATTTTATGTATATAAACGGTGGTGAACTCAAGAAAAGAAAATTGTTTGCAACATTATTGCCACACATCGAACTATGGCAAATGATATATTATGAAACTTGCAATCTAATTGATTTTTTAGTAGCTTTTTCCTCGTTTTAATATTCATCTTTTTAGTTTCAATACTTTTGGAAGTTTAAACCAAATATTAGAATCCTTTAAAACGTTGACACAAAACATGAACATTAGACTTTGAAAGGTATGTTATGATCAAGATTATGCATAAGTGAAATGATGACTTTTTTTACAAGGGATATATAGATATATAGGTGTATATATAAAAATATGTAATTATAGAGCTAGGTTCAAATGTGGATTGACATCTATTGTGCGGACGTGTGGATAGTGCTATTCTGTGAGAATGACAAAGAAAATATGTTATCTGATAATATGAATACGTTCAATCTTACATAACTATTGTCATTATCACACATTCTTACTAATTAAATCGTCTATAAGGTTATTATACACTTTTCATTATTATTCTCATTCTATCAGAATATTTATTGAGTAATATTCTGTAAGAATGAAAATAAGTGAAAAAAGATGTTTGAGAACAAAAATGAATAAAAATTAGTGAGAATACATGAAAATGACGATAGTTGTGTGAGGTTGAACGTATTCGCAATACTAAATAACTTATTATGTTAGTAATTCTCATAGAATAGCACTGTCCACACGTCCGCACAATAGTTGTCCATCCACATTATAACCTAGCCCTGTAAATATATAGATATATAGATAACGGTTTAATTTAATTTGTTTATACATCATGGTGAATTGGAATAAAAAAAAATTACATTCTTGTCACTTTTTACTACATATCGTTAACTTGCAACCTAATTGGGTTTTTCTTTAAGTTTTAAGTAATGTTCATTTTCATTGTTTAGTTTCACCTTTTTACAATCACATACTTTTAAATTGTTTAGTTTTAACACTTTAATATAAAAATATGTTTTTATGATGAAATGACCACTAGTTTTATAATAGACCTTGAAAGCTTTATTATGATCAACATTGATTGATAATAAAGATAATAAAAGCAAAAGAGTATATATAAGGGAAAAATAAAATGTTATATAGATGTATGAAGAATGTAGGAAAAAGAAATTAATGTTGTACTATAGTATGTTGGAATGATATACTTAATAAGACATAGTTCAACGTTCACAATTGAGCT